GGGGGGGGCATAAAATTTACTGGGTCAAAAGTTTCAAATTTTTAAAACACAATTTGAATAACAGACTCACAGTTAATACCTGAATTTGCAATAAGAAGCAAGATATATTTTCTCAAGAATTTTTCCTGTAGTTGCTGATATACGAAGCAGCCAATTGTGAGCAGTCAGTGCTATTAGTGAGGACTTGTAATCTGATGAATTGGCAAGTATTTCCCCCTAAAAAGATAAATGTCGTGTTAAAATGAAATTGGTTGACCATGAACATTTGCAGTAATCAATGTCCAAAGAAAATAGCTAAGTACTTAAATAAATAGTCAAATAAGTAAACCAAAAAATAAATATTAAATGTACAAATAGAGAACTAAGACAAAGAAAGATTGGGGTAATTACTTTCATCATTAACTTATTGAGTTTATTCACTTAAAGCATTTAAACAATGTATGAAATAATGTATTATGTATTAGTTATTATTTATTACAAAGTATTCAACAAATGAGAGTTAGTCAATCATGGTAACAGTAGTAAGAGTATTAGCAATGATGTTGCATCTGTGATAACAAGAATAACAGTTTGAAAAATCACGTATAATAAATAGCATAGTGATAAGAGTCCTCTGCTAGAACAGACATTCACATTGTACTCTTTTTTTCTGTTACATTTCTTGTTTTCCTTTGGATGGAAGTCAAAACAGCAAAGTGTAAATTATTATTCTACTATTCACCATGGTTTTGACCTAATCTCAAATGAAAAGCTAGGGTCTGGAATGAAGACAGTCAAAGAAGAACAGAAAAGGGATCTGGTTTTAAAAGTGTTACTAATGAGTTATCCTCTCCCTAGAAAAGGAAGAGGATAGCTGCTTGGGCACGTCTGTCACTGAGGAGCTACCACTTGGTGGAAGTCTAATGCAGGAAGAAAAAGGGAAGCAAAGGTTTCTACTTTGATTTATGAAATAAAAGGTTAGTTCTTAGAAGGTTAAGAACAAAGAGGTTGAAATTACATCCCATGAAAATAGAGTTCAGAAAAATATACACTGGAGCAAAGCAGGTCTGATGAAATGAGCTTATCCTATGACTTTATTTTTATCTTATTACTTTCCAGCAATATTTGTGGAGAAAACCCTTAAGAATTCAAAGAGGTATGTAACATTACAGCTGCTCTTAAAAAATACTTTGTTTCAGTATATTAAGTAGAATGATCTCTTAAATGCTAAGATAATTATGCAAAAGTTTACATTGCTTAAAAAATGTTTAATCAGTTTATAACTTTTTTACTTTTCAAGATTTTAAAAAATTGTGGCTGGGTGCAGCGGCTCACACCTATAATCCCAGCACTTTGGTAGATCCAGGTGAGAGGATTGCCCGAGCCCAAGGGTTTGAGACCAGCCTGGGCAACTTGGCAAGATCTCATCTCTACAATAAATAAAAAAACTAGCCAGGCACAAAGGTGCATGCCTGTAGTTCAAGTTACTTGGAAGGCTGAGGCTGAAGGATCACCTGAGCCCAGCAGGTAGAGGCTGCGGTGGCCATGAGCATGCCAATGTACTCCAGCCTGGGCAAGAGTGAGACTCCAACTCAGAAAAAAAAAAAAATTGTAGCTAATCTTAAAAACAAATTCATAATATTAATACGTTTTTAATGCAGAAACTATTTCATGAGGAAAAATAATAATCAAAAGATATACTCTCATCATGATTATCTCAAAGATGCAGGAATCACTATGATATTTAAGTTTTATTCCTTTATACACTATATTAACAATAACCAGTTCTTCTAGGCTAAAAATGCTTTAAAACAAATGCTTGAGAAACAAATCTTACCACTGGACATTCCCATAATAAAGCATCTTCTATTTTTTCTGATTTGGAACATTTTGGCATTTCATAAAGTTTTCTTGGTTCTGATGCAACACTGGGGAAAAAAATGATTATTATTCTTGATAACTGAGACATATTTGTTCAGGTTTGAGGGACACTTTAAATTCAGAGATTTAGAATACCAAAATATAAATTGCTATTTATTTTCCTTTTTTTAACAAAGTGTTAATGTATGCTTCTGATCACATAATTCATAATATACATTCATAGAAAAATATCTGAACATTTTAGTAAGATTACAATAATTTTTATTAATAATACTATAAAATTGCCAAAGATAACCATTATTAGCATTTTAATTTATTTTCTTCTTGTTTTTCTTTATATACATATACCTACATGGGCATTGTTTTCAAAATACCGAATTCTTTCTTTACCCCGAACATTTACTATGAATATTTCTGTTGAATTCCATCAAGACCATAAACTATTGTTCTGATATTTAAAATGAAAATTAATAAGGCTGGGTCAATGTGTCTTCCCTGTAATTCCAACACTTTGGGAAGCCACAGCAGGAGGATTGCTGGAGTTTGAGACCAGCCTGGGCAACATAGCAAGATTTCATTTCTTTTTTGTTGTTGTTGGAGTCTCACTCTGTCACTCAGGCTGGAGTGCAGTGGAATGCTGCTCATGACCACCACAGCCTTGACCTGCTGGGCTTAGGCGATCCTTCTGCTTCAGTCTTCCAAATAGCTGGAACTACAGGCAAGTGCCACCATGTCCAGCTAATTTTTAAAAATTTATTTATTATAGAGATGGGGTCTCGCCAAGTTGCCCAGACTGGTCTCAAACTCAGACAATTCTCTCACCTCGGCCTCCCAAAGTGCTGGGATTATAGGCGTGAGCCACCGTATCCAGCCTGCAAGATCTCATTTCTACAAAAAAATTAAAAAATTAATTGGGTGTGGTGGCGTATGCCAGCTACGCAGCGGGCTGAGGCAGTCGAGGCTGCAGCCATGACCGTGCCTCTACACTCCAGTGTGGGTGACAGACTGAGACCCTGACTCAAAAAAATTAAATAAACAAACAGATAAACAAATAAAATGGGTCTCATTATTTTAGAATAAAAATTAGTGGATTAAAAAGGGAAATAGACTTCACAGTATTTTATTCCCAAATTACTTTTCAGAAAGCTTTTAAAAGTTTATACTTTGGCCAATACTGAATTGTATCTTTGATGTGAAAAAATCTCTTAATTTATACTTCTATGATTACTACAGAGATTTGATCATACATGTTTTCTTTTTTTTTAACGGATGAACTTTAAAATCAAACTACTGTTGAAAGAAAAATCAATTTTCTGGGTGACAGTTTTATTTACCATGATGTTTTCTCATGGATTCAAAGGTTTAAACCAAAAGAAATTCCACAGGAATGAAAGCAACCTCATATATGATTCTAACCTATGGGTAAAATACCCCTGGACTTTAAAGAACTCTAACAATATTTTTAACCATTAGAACATTAATCAATGCCACTTACTCAAATTAAAAAATATTTTAGGCCAGGCGTGGTGGCTCAAGCCTGTAATTCCAGCACTTTGGGAAGCCAAGGTGAGAGGATTGCCTGAGCCCATAGGTTCAAGACCAGCCTGGGCAACTTGGTGAGACTTTGTCTCTACAATAAAATAAAAAAATTAGCCAGGCATGGTAGCGCACACCTGTAGCTCCAGCTACTTGGATGGCTGAGGCGAAAGGATCACCTGAGCAGGTCGACACTGGGGTGGCCGTGAGCATGTCACTGCACTCCAGCCTGGGTGACGGAGTGAGACTGTAACTAAAAAAAATTTTTGTTTTAATCAAAGCAGGTACTTCAAATTGGGTACATTACAAACTGGACATTAAATGATACCAAAGAATTATTGCTATTTTGCTAGCTGTGATAATGACATTACAATAATATAAATCCAAATTTTCCCTTCCAGTATAATAGTATAGAAGAGCTCTGTGGGCAAACTCTTCAGAAAAACTGGTGAAAAATTTAAAAGGCAACCAATTAATGTCTCTGGAAATGGTCCTGGGAATACAGCACAAGAAGAAACATTTATTCATGAAAACCTACTGAGCAGTAAGCTCAATAAGAATAGTGAAAGTCTGTAGTATTTGAACCAGGGCATGTACCCTTCCTTCAGACTCCCAGCTCAACAAGATGGAAATGCCATTCCAGACTGGTGCAGCCAAGAGCAGAGTTCCCTCTGCTCCAAGCTTCCACTCAGAGGGCTATCTTCCCAGGAGGGGCAGGATGACAGAATTTCTTATCCAACCCCCAGCTGCCTGTTGCTAGGGTTAAGTCTTGGAGGAGTACAATCAAAAGGCGGGGCTCCTTCTTCCACTCCACCCACCTCACGGGATGGAGGTTCTACTTTGGGTGTGTAGCAGAGCTGAAAATACTGGGGCTCTGACTGGCCTTACCCTCCTTATAAAGCACTGGCTTCACACTAAGAGAGGCAAGCTGAGAAGATCTGAAGCTAATGTAGGGGAGTCACTCAGAGAGAAGCATGCCATTAACTCCCACCACCACTTTCAGCACCTTGGCTGGAAGATATTGCTTGAGGGGAGAAGGTCATAAAACAGTCCCTAGATTCTTTCCAGAATAACTGACTTTTTTTTTTTGGCAACAGAGTGTGGAAAAGTTCAAGCCTAAGAGCAGTCTCAAAACCTGAGGAGATTGTGATAAAAGGAAAAAGGGAGGTGACTGGTAGATTCATTGGAGATACAGGCTAAACTGTAGGCTGGCTAGTTTGTCAGAGAGAACCAGAAAAAGATAGCAGGGAGGAGCCCTCCTGGGATCAAAACAAATGTCAAATGCTGACTATCCTCTCCAAATTACGATTCCTGATTCAACACGAAAAGAGTTTGGAAGTTGTCACTCCTGTCCTCACAACAAGAAAAGGCTGAACAAATTGAAAATCACCAGTTCCTCTTCAATCCATTAGAGAATTGCTGTCACAGGGCAAACTGCTGCTCATAAAACTGGACAGGGAGGTGAATACTGGCAATCACAGCTTACCAGGAACAGAAGCCCAGAAACAACCAGCTGGAGACAATAATTGCGAGACAAAAACAAGGACACTAGAAGAAATTTTAACTTCTGATATCTACAGTTTAGCAAATAGTAATCACAGCCTAATTCCTACCCAGATAAACATAAAATCTCACTCTAAAGGCCTATTTATCTCAATTCTTTTTACCCGATATATCATATATAGCCCTCAACAAAAAACTGGAAGGCATGCTAAAAAAAAAAAAAAAAACAACACAAAGTTTGAAGACACAAAGCAAGCATCAGAACCAGGCTCAGAAATGGCAGAGATTTTGAAATTATCAGATCAGGAACTTGAAATAATTATGATTAAGCTGGGTGCTGTGACACACAGTTTCAGCTACTTGAGAAGCTGAGGCAGTAGGATCAATCGAGCCCAGGAGTCCAAGGCTGTAAGGTGCTTGAACATGCCTGTGAATAGCCACTGTACTCCAACCTGGCAACACAGTAAGACTCTATTACTAAATACATTAATTAGGCAATTGATTAATTAATTGTGATTAATATATTAGGGCTCTAATAGAAAAAGTGGATAACATGTAAGAGATGGGTAAATTAAGCAGAGAGATAAAAATTCTAAGAAAAATATCGGAAAAAAATGCAAGAAATAACATCATAAGAGAAATAAAGAATACTTTTAAAGAGCTCATCACTACACTAGACATAGCCATGGAAAGAATCAGTGAGCTTGAAGATAAGGCAACAGAAGAACTTCCAAAGCTGGGGAAACAGAAAATAAAAAGAAAAATAATAATAGGATATCCAAGAACTGTGGGACAATTGGAGAAGCTATAACATACACATAATAAGAATATCAGAAGGAAGAATAAAAAGAAAAAGAAATATTAGAAATAATTGGCTGGGTGCAGTAGCACACAGCTGTAATTACAACACTTTGAGAGACAGAGGTGCGATGACAGCCTGAGACCAGGGGTTTGAGATCAGCCTGGGCAACTTGGCGAGACCTCATCTCTACAATTAAAAAAATGGCTGGGGGCGGTAGCTCAGTCTAATCCCAGCACTTTGGGAGGCCAAGGGGAGAGGACTGCCTGAGCCAGGGGGTTTGAGACCAGCCTGGGCAACTTGGTGAGACTTCGTCTCTGCAATAAATCACAAAAACTAGCTGGGCATGGTGGCATGCATCTGTAGTTCCAGCTACTTGGAAGGCTGAGGAAGAAGGATTGCCTGAGCCCAGCACATCAAGTCTGTGGTAGCCATAAGCATGCCACTGCCTCCAGTCTGGGTGACAAGAGTGAGACTCCACACCCCTCCCAAAAAAATTAGCCAGGCATAATGGTGTACACCTGTAGTTCCAGCTACTTAGAAGGCTGGGGTGAAAGGATCACCTGAACTCAGCAGGTAGAGACCATGTTGGCTGTGAGCATGCCATTGCACTCCAGTCTGGGCCACAGAGTGAGACTCCAACTCAAAAAAAAAAAAGAAGGAAATAATAATGGCTGAAAATTTTCCAAAATTAATGACAGACACCAAACCACAAATCCAAGAAGCTGAAGCTAGGCATATCATATTCAAACTACAGAAAATCAAAAGTAAAGAGAAATCTTAAAAGAAGTCAGGATGAAAAAAGCCTCTTAACTATAGGAACAAGGTAAGAATTATAATGGACTTCTCTTCAGAGATCATGAGAGCAAGTAGAGAGTAGAGCGAACTATCTAGAGTGTTGGAAGAAAAAAATCCCACCAACCTAGAATCTGTACCCAGATAAACTGATCTTTAAAAGTAAAGAGAAAATATGATTTTTTCAGATGTACAAAAATTGAGGGCAAGTGTTGTCAGCAGATCTGCTTTGCAAAAAGTATTAAAAGAAGTTTTTCGGCTGGGTTCCATGGCTCAGCCTGTAATCCCAGCACTTTGGGAGGCCGAGGTGAGTGGACTGCCTGAGCCTGAGAGTTCGAGACCTACCTGGGCAACTTGGGGAGACCTTGTCTCTACAATAAATTAAAAAAATTAGCCGGGTGTAGTAGCACACGC